AGCGAAGCGGCGCACCAAGGTCATGGACGCGAACTTCGACAAGCAGAGGCGCCGCCTTGGACGGGCCACGTGCCTCAAACGCCAGGGCGCAAAGTCGGGCAAGGTGGGCAGGATGGGCATGCAGCCCACCATGACGTATGGCGCCAGCGTGCTCGGCCGAAGTGACTCGCAGCTGCACAGGATCAGGGCGGCGGTCGGCGCAGCGATGTTCACCGACACGGCAAGGCGCTCGCTCACGCTGTCCTTCATGCTGGAGCGGGGCAAGCAGGACCCAGCCTACGCCGTCAACGCGGCGCCGCTGGTTGAGTGGGCGAAGGCGGTCTGGACCAAGCGCATCCCCACCCACATTCTTCAGGGAGCCCTGGACCGAGCAGAGGCGACTCAGAGGAATAAGCTGCACCCATGGGCCGCCGTGGTCGGGCCAGCGGGTGCGATGCTTGCCACGGCCAGGAGGATAGGCTGGCAAGTTATCTCCGCCAGAAGGTGGATCTCCCACGACGGCGAGGAGCTGGAGCTGAGCGAAGGCGCGGGGCCACGGACGATCAAAGGATTGCTAGACCGAGCCATCGAGAGGTGGCAATACACTCAGATAAGTCTGCATGAAGGGCTGGAGCACCTCAAGGACGGCATCCACCTGGAGCCAGTGCGCAAGGTCATCCGCAACCTCGAGAAGCACGGCCTGAAGCAGGAGGCGCGCGGCCTGCGCTCCACCGTCATCGGAGCGCAGTGGCCCCAGCAGCAGCTGCATGCCGCGGGCCTCGCTGACTCCCCGCTGTGCCAGCGCTGCGGCGAAGCCCCTGGCACGCCCCCTCACCGCCGCGGTGCATGCGTGGCGTGGGCGCGTGAGCGCAGGGAGATCGAGATCGGCCAGGTCCACTTCCCCGAGGGCGCGCTCACCGCGCTGCAGGAGGCGTTATGGGGCAGGTGTCTGCTGCCCAACTGGGACGCGGTGCCGAGGCCGTCGAGAGCGTGGCACACGGTATGGAGCATAGAGGCCCCAGGAGGCTTCTTCATGGACGACGGCTTCGTGGACGGATCGGGGCGTTGCCTCGCAGGCCCCGATGGCATGCGGGTGGGCTTCGGCTGCGCATCAGTGGACCACCTCGGGCGGGTCACGGGAGCCTGCCACGGGCCATCTCCTGGCTGGCTGCAGGAGGTGGGAGAGGGCGAGCTCTTCGCGGTGGAGGTCATGCTGCGGCGCGCCGTTCCCCCGTTCACCATTTACATCGACTACCAGGACCTGCTCGACGGCATCGCCGCAGGGCCTACTGTGTGCTGCGCGCCAGGCAAGGCCTACGCCGAGCAGTGGAGGAGGATCTGGCGACTCATCCTGGACATCGGGCGGGACCGGCTCCAGTTCCGCAAGGTCAAGGCCCACCAGGTCATCACCCAGCTCGCCTACGGCTCGGTGGAGCGGCGTCTCGCGCTTGGCAACAAAGCCGCCGACACCGAGGCCAAGATGGGAGCGGCCTGCCACCCATGCAGCTCTCAGGTTGAGGAGGAGCGCTTCGCCTCCCAGCAAGGGGCAGCGGGACGCATGGCGGGCTGGGTGGCCCAGGTGCGTGCGTTAGCCAACGGCGGCCAGAGGGGCACCACGGGCAAGCAGCTGCTGACGAGGGCCCCGCGGCACGAGGAGCAGCACGGCATGGTGCGTGCTAAACGCCGCCGCGCCCAGCCACGCGGGCAGCCAAGGCCCGAACCCGGCAGAGGAGTCGGCGCGAGCATGAGCATGGCGCACGACGACCAGGATGGCGACAACAGCGGAGGCAAGTCGCCACAGCGCGGGCCTACGGTGCTGACGGCGGCGGCGCTCGCGGCTGCAGCCTGGAGGGCAGGCCTGGCGGGAGGCTCCGACGACGAGACCGACGGCGAGGACCTGGCCCAGCGTGGTGGCGCTGGCAGCAAGGACGAGGCAGACCCTGCTCCGCCCCGCTGGGCCCAGCAGCTGACAACGAGCCAGGCCAGCGGCGGCGACCCCGAAGGCCTGGCGGACGGTGGCAGGTCACCGACACCAGTGGGCGGCTGGGCAGCGCTGGACGCCCCGCTGAGCGGCCAGGGCAGCAGCAGCCATGCCGTCCACGGTGGCGAGGACAGCGACGACGCGCCGCTGGTGCAGCCGCGCGGGAGGCAGGCGGCCCCCCGCAGACGGCAGCTCTTCACGGCGAAGGGCGCGCTGGCTCGAGGCGGCGACAAGCGGCCTCGCGAGGCCGAGGCACGGCAGGCAGCGCTGGAGGCGGGCAGCAGCCAGGCGGATGGCAGGACTGCCAGCCAGGACGGCATCGGCCGCCGCGTGGCGGCACGGCTCCAGCGCGAGCGCGGGCCACAGCTCTTCATGCCCGACGACGTGGGCAGCGCGGTGGGACTGCCGCTGCGGCACCGCGCGCAGTGGGTCGGCGGCGCCAGCGCGCTGCCCTTCGCATGTGACCGCTGCGGGGTACGCTGCAGGGACCGCGCCCAGCTGGAGACGGGGCTGTGCCGCGGGACGCCTGCCGCCGTGCTGGCGGCCGACGCGACGCACCGCCTGATGACCATGGGCGACGTGGTGTTCTGCAGTTCCTGCGGTGCAAGGGCTAGTGGAGGAGCGGCCATCCTGCTGGCGGCGAAGTGCCTGGGCAAGGTCGCCAACGCCACGGCTGGCACGAGGCTGAACAGGATGAAGGCGGGGAAGCACCCGATCACGGGCCACCTCATCGGCGAGCCCGTCCCGCTGGAGGCGCGCCTGGAGGAGGCCCCAGCGGAGGAGGTGCCGATGACGGCATGAGGATCGAGGGCGGCGTGCCGCCCAGCCTGGGCTCTGCTGCGGCCGTTCGGCCAGCTGGGCGGCGGCGGGAGGGCGCTGGGCGGCGCGCGGCCACAGGCGCAGCGTGGCGGCGGCCTGCGCCGTGCCGCGCATGCGCTGCGGGGGGCTGGCGGCTGAGGCCGTAGGCCCGTGCCCGCCCGCGCGGCGGCGGCGGACGGCGCCGTGCCGCGAGGGCGTGCTGCGCCCGCGGCGACGAGGCGGGGGTCGCCGCGCCGCTCGGGCGCTCGGGCGGCGCGCCGAGACAGACGGCCCGCCGCGCAAGTGGGTGCGGCTCCTCCTCCTCCTCCTCCTCCTCCTCCTCCTCCTCCTCCTCCCTCCTCCTCCTCCTCCTGCCTCCTCTCTCTTATCTTCCTCCTCCTCCTCCTCCTCCTCCTCCTCCTCCTCCTCCTCCCTCCTCTCTCTTATCTTCCTCCTCCTCCTCCTCCTCCTCCTCCTCCTCCTCCTCCTCCTCCTCCTCCCTCCTCTTTCTCATCTTCCTCCTCCTCCTCCTCCTCCTCCTCCTCCTCCTCCTCCTCCTCCTCCTCCTCCTCCTCCTCCTCCTCCTCCTCCTCCCTCCTCTCTCTATCTTCCTCCTCCTCCTCCTCCTCCTCCTCCTCCTCCTCCTCCTCCTCCTCCTCCCTCCTTTCATCGGGTGAGGATACAGATCGGGCTGCTCTGGAGCAGGTCCCGGGCGCCGCGGCCTTCCCAGAGCCCTCCGGAACGCTCTGCAGCGCCCCCCAGCTCGCTGGAAAGAGTTCATCCTCGTCCTAGCCCCCCGCCCGGCGCAGGGCCACGCCTCCTTCTCCTCCTCCTTCTCCTCCGCCTCCTCCTCCTCTCCCTCCTCCGCCTCCTCCTCCTCTTCCGCCTCCTCCTCCTCCTCCTCCTCCTCCTCCTCCTCCTTCCTCATTCCTCCTTCCTCCTTCCTCCTTCCTCCGTCCTGGGGAACTGTCGACCCAGAACCGGCGATACGTCGCCGAGAGATCGGCGGCAGGCTCCTGAGAGCGAAACCGTACGCTCCTGGGATGGGCGGGGGCTGGGCTGGCAGGCCACAATTGGCGCTGAGTGGAGCAATCGAGGGTCGATGCCTCCCCACCGGTCCTGTGGCCACGAACTTCTGGAAAGCGTGTCGAGGCGGCGGCCCTGGCGACACACGATGCTTGGCAAGCGGATGGCGTGTCGCTCCGCTCCGCGGGGTGAGGGGCGAGGGAAAGCTGGGACGTTGACGCTTGAGAGTGGGAGAGTGGATAGCGCGTCGCGCCGAAGCGTGGTGGGCCCGAGCTGGCGGAGCGACAAGCCGAGCCAGAGTGCACGTTGCCCCCGGCTGGCGATGAGTGGGCGATTGGGGATCGATGCCCCCCCTTGAGAAGGGACCGACCGTCCCGACATTCCTGTAGTCCTACCACGACATGTTCTTAGAACCCAGAAATGTTCCAAGAACAAAAACAAGGTTCTTAGAACATAAACCCGATGTGGTAAAACAAGACAGTCCCAGCCAGAAATGCTCTAAGAACATTTCGTGGGAACCACAAAAGCTTCTTAGAACATTGCTTGGTAGGACTATGGGCACGCCAAGACGCTTCGCCACTACTTGACCCCCGAGCCCACGATGCCCCTGAAGAGGGTCGGGTCAGAACTCGGGCCGCCGCCGGCCGCTCGGGAAGATCCGGGCAACCCCAGAAGGCCCCTGGCGAGGCGCAGAGGCTGGAACGGCTCCCGCGGTGGCGACGAGTGCCTCCGAAGAGGGCCATCAGGGCGAAAACCAGGGAAGGATAGCGGGATAGCCGCCTTTCCCTACTCTGAGAACACGCTGAAAAACCGACGTTGCACCATTGGGAGACCATGTCTGTTCCATCGCGCCACCATCTATGTCGAATCCGTGTCTCGAGTCCGTGTCGAAAATCATATCCGCGTCGAAACCAACTCGAATCAATGCCGAATCCGCGTCGAACCCGAGTTGGCCACAAGAAAAAAGGCCGCGGTTCACAAGACTACGAGACAGACGAGGTCCCCCGAAGATGCATCGTCTGGGCGTCGCTTAAATGGGGGGGATACGTGCGGGGGGGACGAAGGGTAAGCTCCTCGGGCCCCGAAGGCCCCCTTTCGGGCCCTGCAAGGCCCCTTTTCTGCAGCCATCCGCTGGTCCCTCCTCTATCACCCCTCATCCCACGGCTCCCAGATCAGAAACCAGACCTCGAGCGCCGGGCTTCGGAGGGCCGCGCTCCTCGCGCGACATGCGGGGCGCCTGGAACTGCCTCTCGCCCTCCACGGCGGCCCGGAGCTGCTCCAGGCTCATGTCCCCGAAGCTGGCCAGCTGCCCGACCACGACGCTGGCCCTGCCGACGCCGAGGCGCGCCACGGGGATCCCGGAGGCCTCCGAGCATCGCTGCACCGAGCCCTAGGCCCATCCTTCCGGTTGGCCCAAAAGGGGGTCCAGCTGAAAGGGGGTGGTGCAATAGGTTTGGGGCAATGGTGCTGCAAATGTGCTGCGCCATGAAAATGTATTGCACTGTACTGCAACGAATGTATTGCACGCGAAAGCTCAGCAATACATTTGCGCACCGGAATGCATTGCACGCCCCAAATCTACTGCAACCCCGCAAATCGACTGCACCAAATCTATTGCACCAACCCCTTATATCGCTTGACTTCCTTTTGGGACAACCAGAATCCTGCTCCCCATCCCCATCCAGACACCCAGCATCTCAGAGCCCCAGGCTGGGGCTAGAATTACCCCTCGAGGCCCGAAGAAGACGACGGCCCATCTCTCCATCTACAAGGGGGTGCATCCGCCAGGCTCCTGCCCCAAAGCTGGCCAGCTGCCCGACCACGACGCTGGCCCTGCCCGCGCCGAGGCCCGCCACGGGGATCCCAGAGGCATCTGAGCTTTTGGCGGCGAGCCCGGGGGGAAGTGAGAAGGGGCGGCGCCTTCCGAGAAGGTTCGGTCGGACGTCCCCCGGCCGTCTGAGAAGTCTTAAGTCGGGCGTGTCCCCCTACAGGGAGATTTTGGGCGAAAAATAAAAGATACCAACAATAATGCCCCCCAAGTGTTCGAAAATAGTCAAAAATCGTCCCCAGACTATTTTTTAACTATTTTTGAATATTCCTCCTATAGAGACACGTCCGACTCAAGAGAAGTTCTCTTAAGCTTCCCCGGGGGCACTGGGAAAATCTCCTAGGCTTCCCCGGGGGCACAGAAAGCCCCTCAGCAGACGCGAGGGGTCCGAGAAGTCCTGCCGCCGGCTGAGAAGGCAGCGTCCTTCTCATCTCCCCCCCTCGCTCGACGCATGATCGCTTCGCCGAGCCCTATCCCCACGGGGGTGGCCTTCGGCCCACTGGCGGATGCACCCCCTAGAGATGGAGAGACAGGGCCGCTTCCTTCGGGTCTCGAAGGGCATATATCCCCAACTGAGGTGCTGAGACGATGGGGGTCTGCATGGGGATGGGGATGGGGATCGGATAGGGATGGGGAGGAGGATGGGATGATGGGGATAGGGGGCTAGGAGTCGGCCAAGCGACACTTAAAGAGATGTCTGCATGAGCAGACGATGGAGATGGGAATGGGGATAGGGTCGGCTAAGAGATACCAAGCCTCGTAGGATGACCGGAGCAGGTCCGTCCGCAGCAGCGACACCAGCGCCGCCCTCCTCTCCTCTAAGGGAACCAACAACATGTACAAACATGATCTTGCGGAATTCCGTGCGGATTTCTTGGATCGGCGCTGGACCCCCCCCCTCTACCTCGCGCGCGAAGCGCGCCAGGGGGGGGGGGCGCCGGAGCCACCGCCAGAGGGGGGCCCTCGAGCAGATCCAAGAAATCCGCGCGGAGCTCCGAAAGTCCATGGCTATGCAGAAGTTCCTTCTCCATCCTTCTCGCAATCACTGCAGGCGTCCGGCACCGGCAGGCCCCTCTTTACCAGCCTCGAACTAATCCCTATCCCTAAGAGATTGACGCGCCAAAAGGCGATGCCAATCTTAGGGGTACGCCCTCAAAACTAAGGGAATCCCTGAGATTGTCATCGTGATGAGGAGATGCCCAGCATAGGTCGGGAGCGGCCAAGAGGGGGGGTGTCCAAGAGGGGGGGGTGCAAATCATGACCGGCGGCATGTGCGCGGCCCAGCGGGGGGGCCAGGGACGTAATGAAATCAGAAAAGGCGCCAAGAAATCTCAGGAAATATCATGGCCCACGCCATGATGTCCACACACCCCTAGTTATCACCCCCCTCTTTTCCGCCCCCGAATAGGGATAGGGATATGCTCCAGGCTGGTAACCTCTCCAGGCAGTCGCGCTCCAGCTCTGGCAGCGGCAGCAGCTGCCAGCACACCAGCGCCCGCAGCGCGCCCAGCAGCCGCGCGCGCTCCAGCTCGGCCCCCCTGGGCAGACCGGCGTCCCGGAGGGCCTCGTGCAGCGCGGCGTCGTCCATCTCGCCAAACCTGGGGTGGGGGGGCAAAAAGCTACCCAGATATCTCCAACTCTAAGACATCGTTTCGTCGTTTTCGATGTCTGGGGGCCCTCGCCGGGCCCGAAGACTGTCCAAAAACGACCCCGAAAGAAATCCCGGTCCCAGGGAAGTGGTCCCCAGCTCCGGGCACCCCACATTGACGAAATTCAAACATCAGAGGCTTTGATACCGATGCCGCTTCACCACGGACCTCTCTGGCGTTGCATTCTGGCAAGACTTTCGATTCAAATTCTGCTGTGGCGACGAGCAACGGTATCGGTA